CTTGTACTCAAGCTCTTCATGCTGGTGCTCATCTGTGAACTGGCTATTTTACGCAAACCTTACAAGATATACAAATTTCATTTAATTAGAAGTTCAAAAAGAGAGTACAACCATAAATTACCATAAAATATGTACGAAGAAAGCATTTAACATATTTTCAAGCAATTAACATGTTTTCAATCTATATTTTCCCTAAATAATTTAAAAACGTTAAATTACCTAGGGCTGGAAAAGTGCTATTCATGTCACTAGCTGCATATGGAAGAGATTCTACTGACCCTGCCAGGGAACCATTCATTCTAGAGATACAAAAAACAAAGCAGTTGTTAATAAATTATCTTACAAACAATAAGAATATAAATAAAATCCCACATGCATTTCTTGCATAATTCTTAATAGTGTGGTCAGAGCTTTATAAACATAAAAAAAATAAAGCAAAATAAAAGAAGAGTTATCAATGCATTACCGTGTTACTCTAGATGGTGGTGCAAATACGCCATGTTTCGGTTTACAATTGAAGTACCGTTGACCCGACACTGTTCCGTCATTCTTACCGAGTGCCTTATCTAATTCTATTCCATACCAGACACCTGTATAAAACAAACAGAAGAGAAATTTCAAATATATTTATTTAATATTGCATAATTTATCACATATGGTATAGAGCCTGTAACACTTAACTTCCCTTATACAGTACATAACATAATAGCTTCATGCTTTGAAGAACATCTAGAAATATCAACACATAGGATTATGAGATTGCAATATGAACAGAGTAGTCACTAGTTGTGTTGTTAAAAAATGACTGTATTTTAAAAATCATATCGAATATGCATTTTACATTACTATTGGTTAGGCATATTTTTGGTCCAGTGTACAGTATTGTGTATTTAATATAAAACCTATTTATCCTTATGTAGCTTGTTATATATAAAACAAATTATTGATCTAGGAAGGTAAGTAGAAAGGTCATAACTTGCAGCGTCTTTGTCGTGGTGTGTGCGTACTAACCGCCGTAAAGAGACGCTTAAATTAGTTACATGTCCACATCATTCCACAACAGGAGCTGAAATGAACCTTAGCATTGGGGAAACCTTGTACTCTTCGAAGATGCAATGGGTTCTTTAAAGTGCACACAAGCCAGATGTATACACTGGACTTCCATTAATTGCTTATTCGAGACGACTTGGTTCTACCAACCGCACCTTGGAGGAGCGACTGGAACCAGTGCCGATGTTAAAGTTCCAGTAGTCAGCCTGCCTTACTGCTTGGCCACTCGACTCTCACTGGTCTCGGTCGAGTAATAATATGGCATAAATTTCCGAGCATTTACCTGGTGCAAACATAGTCTCGCCACAAAATCGCACGACCCCTACTCTTTGACCTGCAACAATGACCCGTTCACCAACATCCATTTCGTCTGCGCAAGAACTTGTAATGGAAGGAGAACGGTTCTTACGACCTAGACAAGATAAGATTAATTATAAAATGTTAGTCTTCTAATACAAATTCTGTTGAGATAAACAAATAGAAATGTGGTGTTTGGTAGATAGAGTACCTGTCTTCCTATACTATAATCATAGGTTCAAATTTGTTATGATCATTTCCAAAAAATAGTTGGACACAGGACCTACAGCTTAAAATTGGATCTCTGGTGTCACAAGACTCATTTTGTGGCCTTGCTCAAATATTTTGTATGACAGCTTATACTATATATTTATTTTGGTATAAAGATCAATAGCAATCAGAAAAATGAGGGATCTGATATCAATTTTGAATAAAAGGCAACTTATTAATGCTTAAGTCTCTGTATATACCTGTGTCAATCTTAGAGGCCACCCTGGATACATCCACCTTAGCATAATTGATGTTGCCGACGTTGAACCTTGGGGTTGATGGTTTGGAAGATGTTCCTGGTTTTGACACTTTACTCATTGGAGCAAACACACCTACGGGTAAAATATAGGTAATGCAGTTTTTCTTTATTTTTATTACGCTTGCCTTTGCCTTGAAATCTCAAAAAATAAGATATATTTCTTCATAATTATATAAATTTAAAGCATTTAACCATCTCATTACTACACCATTTACATTCACCAATAACATTTTATTTCTCCTCCATTTGGATGTTTTTAGCAAAACCATTTGCTAAATAAGAAAACAAAATTTTATTTTCATTTTTTTTCCACCCTCCTGTGATGATCTTTAAAAAATAAATACGCAAACAAGGTATAAAAAAAGACTTACCTTAGATTTAATAAAAATAATGAAATTTCTGGTAGCCGTATGCAAAAAAAGTAATGATTCGAAAGATTCTAAAATTCAGTAACAAGGAAGCTAATCACCATAACGGTTATAATCATGACATTGATTTGAATAATAATAAGCATCATGAATATTCATATCTGCTTCTACAACCTCCAGCATGCAACCATTCAATTAATACTATAGTCTAATGAGATTCGCAACATAAAAGTGATGTTATTTTCAATTAAAAACAGTACAGTAAAAAAAATAACAGTTCTAGACCTGAAACCTTCATACCATTTAAGCCAATACTATAAGAAAATATAGTTATGATAGTGAAGTGATACAGTATTACAAAACAATACCTAAAATGCTGTAACCAACAACATACTGTGAGCACAGAAATAGGAATGGAAAAATCTTTTATTGGTATTTATTAACAAGTATAACATTCAAATTGAACCTTAAACCGAAGTAAAATCTAACCCTAGAATACCTGAACCTTTAAACCAAGTTTAGAAAAAAATGTAAAAAAAATACTTGTGAGCAATTTAATCACCTGATTTTGGTTTCACAGGTGGTTTAGGTAATTTCAATCGAGGGATTTTAGACGATTTATTTATTTGGTCAATCTTGGACTTTGGAACAAAGATTCCTGAAATTAGTTAATTGAAATATCAGTTAAGAATTAGACCAACATAAGTTTGATTGGTAAAAAAATAGGACACTCTGAAAAGAATTAACAAAATATATTATTTCATTTACATTTAGTATTTAAATTCAATTTAATTTTTCTTATCTAACATACAAAAACACAACAAGTTTATATAAACCTATACTCTATAATCTTCATTTAAGATGAGGAATTTTATCAACAAATTTTATACAATGTAATATTATATTTTCATTAATTTTAATTAGAGAGCCCGTACCATGTTTTGGTGGACATGAAAAGTAGGCTATGCCGCCCACGCTTCCATCGTTCTTTCCTTCTGGACCTTCCATCTCAATTCCGGCCCAGATTCCAGGAGCAAACTGAGTCGTTCCACAATAACGCAGTACACCAATCTAGGGGAAAAAATTGAAATAAGCAATTAATTTAATCATGTATCTATAGTATAATATGTTTGTACTGTTTTATTTATTTTATTATTACTTTAATGTAAATGACATCTCTAAACGTAAAAAAATAAAATAATAGTTAATATATTGATAGTAAAATATTTGCAGTAAAATTATCATAATTACGGTCATATAATGATTTTTTTTTTGGTACTGCATTATACATCAAATGCTTAAGCATCAGTACACTTGTACACATTGTGTGGCATTTTAAAAAAAAATTCCACTTTTATTTTTTTAAATAATCTCAAATTATACTAAACATAAACTGTAGATATTACATTGATACATGGCATATGACTATAAGGAGTGTTTGGTGATACATATATAACAATATTTTTCCCAAATTTGTGATAAATGTAGCATGCGGAAAAAACATTATTTTTGACATTTACAAAATATAAAATCAGTTTTAAAAAGTAGTAATCAGTTTTAAAAAGTATTTTTTTTCAAAAATTCAAAAACAAAGCCTGAAAAAGAATATTATATCTACAAAGCTATTGTCACTAGAATGCTAAAGAATGGTAACTATGCTAGGGATAATGCGTGTTAATGGTTTTATGAATATGTATGAATCAAATTCTCTAATTATGTGATTTAAAATAAATTTCTTTGTAAATACCAATGAAATTATACAGAATTGGACACAATTATGTAAATTTATCATTTACGAATAATTACTTGACTGTAACAATTCTAATTTCTAAACAAACTAAACTTTCTAAAGATTTATTAATATTCATGAACTATTAATGATATTGCTGAAACCTACAAATTATGCACAGACATATATCAACCTTCATTAAATTTGTAATCTAAAAATTAAAATGTTTGATAAATATTTATGAATTTGTATGATGACTATATATTTATGAATAAATGAATGAAATTAAAATAGGGCTTGAGGAAGCCATAGATAGGGGCCCCATGGCTCTTTATTACACCACTACTGCCAGCTGGTGATGGTGGAGTGGTACAGCCCTACTGAAACACATCTTGTGGCTTTAAAGTCCTTCCTAATGAATACAGTATATAGACACTATGATGACTAGACGTTAAGACACACATTGAAATAGCATATGCAGTACTCACTATTACTTGGGGATCGGATTCAACATTAGTCACTAAGTGCAAGCTCAGTGTCAAGCGGTTATGACACCAGGTTAGTTATCTGAAGGTCATGGGTTCGATTCCCACCTGAATCACTTGCAAATTTTTTCCCCAAGTATTTGGAAACCTATTCAGCATAACATGTCAGGTAGGGCAAGACAACAGTCCTACGATATTTTCCTGACGCAAACACACATCAATTAACTTGCTTTGTTGTTTTTATTTTGCTATTAAATTAGCATTATATTTTATAAGATTTTATGAGCACCACTAGCATACCTAGTGGCATGTGTATCTCTCAGAATAATATGCCACTAATTTTAATCTCAGCATTATAATTTTTGTGTAGAAATAAATTGCAACAACAGAACAAAAACTTAGAACTTCTCCCACACAAAATCATCAAGCATTAGAAAATAAATCACCAGAAAGTCATCCACAAGCATCGTAAGAAGAACCGATATTTCACTCCTTCGGGCAAACTAGATATCTAATAATCTATGGAGGTTAATTACAAAACATTGACATGGAATCCATACATGAAATACATTAAGACTAACTAGTTGAGGGTAATTATGAGTTGGACGATCATTTAAAGAGAACGCCAACACTCCGCCGGCCACTGCATTGACTGATAGTAGCACGTAGAATAACCGGTTTAATCTTAACGATCTATATAAATAACATTTTGTCAGTTTTGGATACTAATGCTGAACTGTGCAAAACAAAATTACATGCTTTATTCAATGTTATCCTTACAGTAGAGCTCAGCTTAGTACCAAATATTACAGTGTATTGTAAGCAGTCCTTCTTGGAGTTAGTTTTTTGGTGAATGATTTTTTTCAGGGGTTGTGCCAAGATTTTCCTGACAGGGGGTCTGGAGTTAGGGAGAGAAAATTGGGCGTACACTGCTTATACTATCACCTGCATTTTATTACAGAATTATTATATAACAGATGTTGGTTTTTAGAGTATACACTAGGTGTAGATGAATACTAGGAACATGCGTAGCATATATAAAACATAATTCTCATTCGCATAATCAACAATGGACCGTATGCAAAGCCCCACCCCCTGGATACCATCGCTAAGGTCCTGAAAAACATGTGTGCCTTTTGTAGCCTATGCGCATATTCCAGACCATGTTCTAATTGGTCAGTTGATAAATTTGATTGACACTCAGGAAAAAATCCACTGTATTCAAATAAATGAATTCAAAATTCATGTTTGGTTGATTTAAATTCTTTTTATTGATTGGCTGCTTTTTTTTTTTATATGTAATCATGAAATGCAATTCAGCTCAGCTTGAGATGCAGATGCAGCACAGCCGTCTCATGGCAAATCAACGAAACTGCTTTTATATTTTTGTTGAGTCACATTGTTTTGCCTTGCATCTCAGTGCTGGTATATTTTGTGAATTTTAAATGTTGTTGAATAAAGAAATACCACAATATAAATTACACAAATCAATGGTGATGTTGGTAGTTTATGAGTGGATACTTACCTGGACAAACCAACAAATTATCTATTCTTTCTCACACATGAGAACACCCCTCGAAAAATAATATAACAGTCAACTCCTGTCGACAAGAACAAGCGGCCCTGCCACCATGCGACTTAATCATTCTTTTTCAAGACACTAAGGTGACACCTCGTCTCATGTGTGAGAAACAATAAGCAATTTGTCGGTTTATCCACATAAGTATTCACGAAGTAGACATTAATAACTACCTTTGATCCTCCAATGGTAACTTTATCTCCAATGTTGAGCCCAAGCGAGGCCAAAAGAACTTTGCTTGGTACGCTTTCATACGATGGCAACGTATACTTGGGAATGCTGAACTCCGAGTCTGATTGTAGCAAGTGTATCAGTCGTAAAGCATTGCCGGCAAGTTCTTTATTGTCGCTCAGTGAGTCCGGGTCCGGGATGCACTCAATAGGGGTACGGCCAAGCTCATCTTTTAGGGTTGCGTTGGCACCGTGCTGCAATAGGCACTTCGCTGCCTCATAGCAGCTGTTGCTTGCTGCTAAGTGAAGGCAAGTTCCATTATCATACTCTCTACAGCGGCTATCAATATCTGGGAAGGAAAAATTAATTTCCAATATAAATTCCCAATATATGTCAGTTATTGTACAACCCACTGTAAACTTTGAATAGTTTTAATGAAACCCATTAGGATACAAATTGCCAGAAGGGTTATCCATGGCTTCCCTTATTAAAAATACTTTTTCGTTTAGTAAATATACATGAAAAGTTCCATCTAGATGATTACTATTCCTTTAAAAATAGTACTGTGAATAGTGCCCTTTGCTCACAATTTCTTAAAATTCTAAATTATTAAATTGCATAATAACCCATATTATTATTTAACAGCATTAAATGACTATAATGATGATGACAATGTCTGATGGTGATGATGATGATGATGATGATGATCTGATCATCATATCTGATGATAATGTATTATACTGCATGCATTTGTTGTTCCACAACTTTTTGACACTTTACAAGTAGATTAACTTGAAAAACACTAAAACAGTAAAAACAGAAAAAATATAACCTTGACTCAGAAAATTATCCACTCAAAACATGCCGATCACCTATATTCTGTGGCGAATATATGATAACATCCTGAATAGCTCTAGTAGATAATTAGGAGAGGTCAACAAGAGGTCAACATGCCTGCTGATGGACACGTCCATGAATGTAGAGTAGTTGGCATTGAGTGCTTAATGCGTTGCTATGTCTATAGCGAGATTCCTAGAGGACCACTACATAATACATTACTGGCAGAATGAGCATACTAGGGGGAATGCACGTGCTAACAGCATAACGCGAAGTGTAACCGCAGACTTCTCGTTATTTCAACAAACCTTATTATCCTCCATATTATGCAACGACTGATGGTGTAGAGGTAGGAAAAATTGATAGCAGTAACAGGAAAGGAAAAATTGCCTGACAACGATTTATTACCAGCATATAGATCGTGATAGAAACAGATCTCTACTTGTAGATGCCACATGTGGGCCTATTTGCTAGTATTGGTGCATCTTACAACCTGCTTTTTGAACAACTCCACAGATAAATTTCAGCAATAAATCTTTGCAAAAAAACTTGGAAATAGTAGAAGTTTGTTTACTTTAATATTCTTCAGAATAAAAAACATTATGAAACTTCAAAAAGCAAGAGCTTCTGGAATAAAAAATGGATAAAAAAGAAAATAGATATTCAAATCCACTCCTTAAATAATAGTCTAACATTTTTTGGCACTTACTGGCAAAAACAGAGGTATGACAGGTATCAACGAGAAGGAATTATTTGTTAAAGTACTACAGAACATAAAAATCCACTTTCGTTAACTGAATTCAATTTTCTGGCATTCCTTAGAAATTTAGTATATGTGCAAAAGCTACATGTAGGTGAATGCGTGTATGTATGTGAAAAAATTAATTTACAAATGTTATTTTTGAAACACTTTTATGGTCTTTCATTCTATTACTATTAGAGTTGCATAATTTTTTTCAAAGTTGTCAGGATTCATCCTACGTATATATATTTCCTTACAAATTATCGAAATCTTTGTTTAATTAATACCGTACATTTTTTATTTTCTTTTTATTCTTAATATTAAAGTATATTTTATTTATTTACTTTCAAAAAATTATGTTAGTAACTCACTCTTTGCACTGGTGGAAATTTTGTACATGAAGCTATATTCTTTAACTACTAGACTCTGTTTTGTGTAGAAAAATGAAATTTTAACCAATGTGTAACAAAATAGAAAATAGAATTGTTTACAATTTTCTTTTAAATGACAGATCATTATATAAAGCCAGGTATAGCAAGTTAACACCTCGCTGTACAAAAACAAGATAATTTAAACCTTTTGTATTCGATGCTTTTAGCAGTAATAGGATGATAGGTATCACATCAAAATAAACGGCATAATGAAGTGAAGTCATGTGTGTCCAATGGCATCTTATTCCGATGTCCGCACCTTTACTCAACAACAACGTGCAAAAGCGGACAGAGTTTGCGACATCACCCACACCGGCTGCAGCTGATTTGCATGTGTACTGGAGCAGGGTCATGTCAGTTAGACCGTCACGGTCGTCAACATGTGCCCCTCTTTGGAGAATCTGAAATACATAACAGTTGAGAAAGCTTAAATACATACACCCTAAAAACAAAATACAGTAATAGTTTAAACATAAGAATAACAACAAAATGTCAGCAATAATAAAAATAATAAGGGTTATTAATAAATAACTAATACTAGACATACAATTAGAGAGCATAAATAAATGATTAAAAAAAAAGCAACTGTGTAAAATAAAAACTGAAAAAAATAAAAATGATGAGTTACAATATACTATAATAAAATAAAGTTGGTAAACAAACATATGGTAATACAGTAAAGTAAATATACTGTATACCATTATACGATTATATGAAATTATGAAGACTTACACTTACTGTATTACTGTTTTGGTTAATATGATTGTTGAAGTTGTTTATGTTTGTATTTTGAGTTAAAAAAAAAAAGACAACCATTTTGAGATTTTGGTTTGAATGGCTTGGGCAACAAAGAGTTAGTTTGTCCTTATGAATACATTTTAAAGGGATAATTTATAGTTAATGTACCAGTGCAAAAAATATTCCTCTTTTTTATTTTATATCACAATGCTACACTAAGTACTGTTTAATGTCTACAGTGATTCATTTAGCTTCCACTAACTTGTTTGTTGAAGATTATATATTGCACACAATCAATTAAAGTTGCATAGAAATACTATGTATTGATTCTTAACGTGAATAATGCATAATAGTATTAGATTATCACGCAGCACTACAAAGCTGTGACTAACTACAAAACAATAATAAATCACACCTCCCAAATAAATACTCATAATAACCTATTCATAATATATTACCTATTAACAATGCAATCATACAGTACAGCAGAAATTAGTAGTACTACAGTAGCCTTAATACGTTATTAAATGGGACTTGCCATGCCAAAATCCAACATCATTGACCGAAACAAGAAAATTGATTCTCCAATTTATAAGGTATAAAATTATGGGTCATTTACTGGGGTAGACTACTATTGCCAAAGTTATGAGCTTCTCTGTACTAAAGTATATAATACTTCCATATTCTTAATGCTGATTACTGAGTTTAAAATTATTAACAACAGTATGCTGGTTTTGGGATGACAAGCCTCAAATTGTAATTGCTTTTTAAAATTTAAATATTGTTTTAATTTAAGGTTACAGTAGTAAATTCTGAAAATAAAAACACCCTTAAAAAATGATTCAATTGCTCATTTAAAACCAAATCAAATAAGTTATCAAACAAATAAGACATATAGCAATAAATTCACTTTTTGTACTGTACTACTTTATTACAGAATTCTTACTACAAAAATATTGCTGATCATCAATTTAACGGTCTGTACAATCAGGAACGTTGAAGGTGTCACAGATAGACAGTATACTGTGTTGGCTAGCTTTAATTAATAATGTTAATGACGCAAACCGTAATGTGTTGCGGGTACACTATCTGTTTGTAAATCATTAAATCATGCAGTCAGTAGTATTGTAATCAGTAAATACTAATTTGTGAAAAGGAAAAATGTAACCGCCCACACTTATCTGGAAAAATATCATTTGTATCGTGGCACCACCCTTCAGGCCCCTTATCATAAGGTTTTGTGATTTCCTATTTGTAGTTTAAAATATTGCAAAACAATAATTTTAAACTACAGTAGCACAAATCTACAAAAATAATTGAAATAAGGATTTACTTTCAGTTAGGGTTTTGTCAATTGTGTGTTTTCAGTTTCTCAAATTTGTGATTAAATACAGATAATAATAATAATAATAATATTAATAATAATAATAATAATAATAATAATAATAATTATTATTATTATTATCATCAATGTATCATCAATATCATCATCATCATTATTATAAATAATATTTGTTATAAAAATTCTTTAAGATTGCATTACTATTATTAAACAAAAGTGGTTTTCCTGCTTTTGCATCTCCCGGGCAATGAAGCCAAATCAATAAATAGACATATTTTAATGATTTTTGGTTTTACCTTATAAATCAAGATATAAGAATAACATAATTTACTGTACAATAACAAATTATTGTTATTATTATTATTATTATTATTAATATTATTATTATAGAAAGACAGAGATGATTATGAGACAGTGGATTCTACATTTTTTCAACAAGCTTTAGAGTTAAGAATCAATATGGGCTCACTGTAAGCATTACATGAGTAAGTAAGACTAACACTTCCAACTCCCGCTGTGGTATTTCAATTTTAGTTTACCTGTCTGAATAATAGATCTTATTTCCTTTTGCAATTGTCAACATAAATTAGCTTTCCAACAGCTTGGTTTATTTGTCTTTGAGAAAAGCAATCTTTCTGTTCTCTGTAGACATGTTGCAATATGTTGGCAAGTGAGTAAAATTACACATTGCTAATGCAGTGAGAAGATGACAGACATGTGTCAGCATGGAATGAAAGATTGAGAGAAATATGAAAAGTGAACCAACAAACGTAATAATAACAGTAACATATAACATCTACTTTTTACATGCATGTACTGTATGACTTTACCAATTGTCAATTTTTCTATAATAAAGTGTGAAGACACACTGGAAGTACAGTACAGTACCATTCCTATATGACTAAATGCCCTGGGCGTTTATTTTTAAAAAGGGTTTTTGAGGGGCGTTTAAATGAGTGAAGCATTTATTCAAGGGAGGCATTTATTTTTTTGGTATAAAATGGATAAGTATACTCAAATAAACACCCTTTTCAATTTTACTGTAAATTTATTTACTTATTTATTCTTTCTTTATACTATAGGCACTTTCAGTACTATTGCACTGATTCTCAAAGTGGTACAGTTTAAACATAACAAAATATATATACAATATATAGAAATGTGGAACAACAACACATAATTACCCTCAAAACGTGTTACTGAATGATCATATAGATTTACTGACCTCGACCAGGTATGAAAAATGTAATTCTACTAGATTAGAATATCAATAGAATATGAGGAGAATGATGCTGTTTCCATTAAATTTGTTTACATTCATTTGGGGGTGGGGGTGCATTTATTCGAGGGAAAAATAAATGCCCCAGTGAGTATATTTGGGGAGGGGTTTATTCCAAATGAGACTCTAGAGAGGAATTTATTTGATGAGGGTATTCATTCGAAGCAGGGTGTTTGAATAAATACGGTAATTTTACTTATGTCTCTAGTGAAGAATATATGGCTATAGTGTTAAAGAGCTAATAATTCAAAATGCATGCATATGATATTAGAAGGAAAACTTTATGTTGTACACTTCAAAAGTGATATTAAATGAATAAGTTAGGACGCACATCTATAACTATGACTTTCAAAATCATGCAATCACTACATAACTGTTATAGTTTGTACTGACCTACCGATCATTCCTGATGATGACATAATTAATGTCGAAATATTGAATCTCGACAAAATCATGATGGCGTACAATGGAGTATGTATTATACTACCAACCTGGTATTCGTCTTTGTGTCCCTCGAACGAAAACATCATTCCCAACTCAGTTTATGTTTTTAACAGTAAAGTGTACCAAAAGTTAAGTGCTTTGATGAGTAATCTGTGTAGTATTAATTTAATTTTGTAACCACTTATCTATTTTTGTAGTTTTATATATACGGTAAGTAATTGTTCATGCCAGTCTACAAATTTCTGTATTAGTTCAGAAAATAAAGTATCATGGTTTAACTTACCTGTTCACCAAATAAGTGTATGTTCTGCTGGACCTGTGGTACCCATTGCCGAATGATGGCAAATATCTCAGCGATTTCTGTGTTTGGGTCAACAAGGATTTTATGACAACCGGGGCAATGAGGATCAAAGAACGATAGCTGTAAACGTTGACATTGTTGGCACAACGGTGCTTCCATTACACGATGAATTGAAGGTCCTTCAGTAACTGTGGGCTTAGACCCAGTTGGCTGCTCTTCATCTAATGTCATTTTTTTTACTAAAATTTGAGAACAAAAATACAACAATCCTATAATAATTCTAATTTTAATTGTTGAAATATCAAAGTTAAGTAAAGTAGGGCTTAATTCAATTCTAGCTAATGATTTTTAAGGACAAGTATTGGGTTTAAAGCAACTCGAGTGGGAGGGGAAAAACCTGCTGAGTTGTGCGCCTGGACATACGTCAGGTGATTAATTTGTCATACCCAGTTAGACACTGGGCATGAATTGAATTGAATTGACTCAAGTCTGCAGTACACCGGCGGGGTGTTGGCCGACGCTGTCTAACGCATGGAAACGCAGACCCTAAACATGTTCGAACGGCATCCTAGTAGGCCCTAAAAATGTAACAAACATACATTGTGCCAGTTTATAGGGAAAAATAACCCTTTTTGCGTGATTTTGGTCACACACATGCGTCCTCGAGATCAAGGACTAACCAGGTAGCACAACCAGGTGGCACTACCATTCTTGTCAAGGAAAGAAATAGGGAAGAGCCTAGGTCTAGGCAGGCCACTACCGCCACTTCCTCTCCCTCTCCGTGTTCAGACAGCGGCAGGCGGTTGTCAACCAGTGGCAGTGCCAACCAAGCCTAGCCTCACTACGTTTTAGCTTAGCAAACTGGCCTTTCCAGAATGAAAGTAAGAAAAATTTAGGCCTAGGAGTAATGAAACTTTATAAATGAACACAGCTCATGTTTTACTTACTGGTAATGGAGGTTATGATGAATATAAAGACTAATTTATCTCAGCAGCTGCACAGTTCTCACATCAGAAAATGTAGGAAAACAAATCCGGCATATTTTTTACATAGCGCCCTCTAAAATTGAGCTAATTTACATATTCATGAGCTTTCTGGGCACTATCTAGTCTGGTAAATTTACGTGAGTGTGAGACGGCCCTATATTATCCCATGTAAATTTCCGGCATCTTGTAAGTATTTCTTATTTCGTGAAAGAAGATGCATTTTCCTTAAGTTTGGTATACCTTATATGTGTGTATTTTTAACTGTGGTCCCAAAATGAGAATATGTTTTGCCTGTTAAGTTTGCAATCTTAGTGTTGTGTACTTCTCCAGGAAATCATAGTCAGTGTATAGGGTTCAAAGGTCAATACTCAAACGTGTAGAGAAAAGATGTGTGTTATGCTTGTCACAGTCCAATGATTGATTATTTTATCAGGCGCATCATTGGCTGTTTAACTCCAATTGATAGTTTACCTATAGTTTAGTTGCTTCAAAAGATTGTAGTTTCTGGTTTAACCAATGAAATTCATTGACATTATCACAGTTGATAGAAATTGCTCAACATTTTGACTGCATCAAACTATATCTTTGGCCATTCACTTCATCACGTTATTGAGAGAGACAGCACGAAATGTGTGTGAGCAAATTACCTGTCTGAAATATAATCTTTTTGTTGGACAAGTGTTTATATAGATATAGCAACAATGAATCCAAATTTCCAAATGATGGTAAGTAATATATTTCCTCCATGGTAATATTATATTAATATTTGAAGTTAATTAATTAAAAATTATCTTACTTGTACATTGATTGAATTAAACTTTTTCCTTCATTTTGTAATTTCGTCTGACAAATTCAGGAATGTGTCATTTATTTTTCATTCATTTTTATTTTTTATATATTGGAAAAAGAATTTTACTGTAAAGTTGTTGAAGAAGAATACAATACATATAATTCCTTAAAACAATGCAATCTCCACTTCTTTGTAGTAATTATCGACATAATGTTTATGATAGAATAATATCATTTTCAAAGTATGCATGTGCATGGTAATAGGAATTTATTGTTCCATGGTCTCTGGCACCACAAGAATAATTTTGTACCGTTGTAGTTGAGAGGTACCGTAAATTGATTTACTTTGAAGGGCCAATTATATTTTAAATAAAAGTTTAATACAATAGTGAACTATTTGTAAAAATAAAAAATGTTAACTAAATGTATTTTATAAAGGATTCCACTTTGTTCTTGCTGTTAAAACATCATTTTTCAAACTGTTTTTTTCAGTTTATCTTAAATAAGATCTTATACTTTAGTCACTGACTCGCAGATTTTTATATTAACAAAATTTCCTTTTTGTAAGATTTTCAACCATAATCTATTATAATTTTATGAATATAACAAATGAAAGTAATGATGATTATTAATCCATCAAACAAATATTTACCTAAATGTATATTTAGATAAAAGTAGCTTTTCTTTTAAAGATCTGGTAAAAACCTTGGATTAAATAAGTTATTAACTTTTGTTGATTTCCATACAATTATTTAAAATACAGTTGGTTATAATTATATTAAATTATAAATATTTTAACATTCAATTGAAAATAAATGTCTCTATCCATTAATTTAATTTCCCAAGTTATACTTTTTTAAATATTTGTAATTATTTTTTATTGCATAATTTATCTTAAAATATTTAGAATATTACTTTATACTTGTCAGGTACTACTGTCCTTGTAATAATAGTTTGGTTTTTTTTTATCTGCTTTAAATGGTTTGATGTTTTACTTGTAAAATGTGCTCCATTTCAGTTTCATACTGCCTTTGCACGTTATTGTTTTTAATAAAGATACCAAAGATGAGAATATCCTTAAAATTGGTTACTACTCTTTTGTCATGACACACTGCAACTACGGTTAGACAATTTAATGGTCATCCGCAGTACTGTACAGTTTGCAGATATATTATTTATACAACTGTTCATTGGCGAGGAATATATTTTCTAATTCTGATTATTAATTGAAAGCTAAATTAATCAAGCAATCAAATATTAAATTCTATTTTTAGGTTTATTATTAACACATGTCCTATAGTTACAATTAATTGAAATTTTTGGGCTCTATAGTATGATTATTAACCATGATGATAAAAATCAGTAATGTAAATATACTTCAAGTACCATAATTAAAACAGCTCCATTTATATAATTATTTAATTATTGATAAAGAAATGCAATTATAATTATCTTTACATGGATAATTATTTAAATATTAATGTACTAAATCGATATATCGATATACGTAACATATTTTTAAACAAATAAACCAATAAGTTGATGTTGACTTACAAGTTATTTGTTTATTAGTTTAAAAATATAATAAGTCAATTTAAAGAATATTATTCTTAAGAAATGCAATTATAAATGTCTTTACACAGATAATTATTTAATTATTAATGTACTATAAATTACAATAATCAAAAAGAAATGAAATTATAGTTTGTTAATGTAAGAAATACAATAATTCTTAAGAAATGCAATTATAATTGTCTTTTATATATACTGATAATTATTTGATTATTAATGAAATATGAAATGCAATTTCTTTAAACATTCAATTTATCATTTTTAAATCATTAAACCTCAACATTATACAACAACATCTTAAAGTGAACAAATGATATAAAACTGTAATATGATCTTTTTTTAAACATACAGTATATTAATGTACAGTACATGTTGTATAAAAGTGATTCAGCTGTGAAATGTAAAATAAATTTGTTTGTGGCTCAATATGATACCAAAGACAAGACTTTTTTTTTATATTGCCATCTGACATGGAAGTACTATAGGCTAACATAGAAGCGATTCTGGAATAATACAGAAAATATATTGTGTTATAGTAATTTAACATTTGAGACAATTCCATATTTTTAGTTGATTTGTAGTCATTTATCAATTATTCTCACCATCAAACATTCATTCGCATGAAATTGTTTTACCTGGATCAGGTGTTAGAGTTAGGTGTTCGTAGTTTGTTGTCTCTTACTTATCATAAAACTGTGACGGCTATTCAGTTGTTGATTTTGTTAACAAGTCAGTTTGAAAAAAGTGTGTCAACCATTTTCAATACAGTGTGAATTAAGTGAACTGAAAGCAATTGGGGATGATCATGTGAAACGCGCACGATGCAGAAATCAGAGGTTCCCATGGACTGTGTGTCACTGTATCACTTGTTTGGAGTGGTCTATTGGGGCCGAAGTTGTAAAGTAATCAATATTTTCAACTGATCTTGTTTACAGATCACACCAGCAATTGTCATAATTTTGATTGTTTTTTTTTATTTGTGAAGTCTTGCATTGGAAAGAGATATAGTGTATTTATGTAGGAAGAAATCATAAGTTAGCATCTCAATTGATAATATATGAATATAATGTTCTCCTATAATCTGAAAGAAAATCTGTTCCATATTTGTATAAATCTACCAGAAACCATGTGTTTTAATTTTTTTCTATTAAACTTTATATCGAATTTGGTTAAGAGCATATAGTGTAACAATAAACATAATATAAATATAAGTATTCAAATAATACTGTACTACTACCACTATTACTTTATGCTACTAATACTATTACTTTATGCTACTAATACTATTACTTTAAATGCTACTAATACTATTACTTTAAATGCTACTAATACTATTACTTTAAATGCTACTAATACTATTACTTTAAATGCTACTAATACTATTACTTTAAATGCTACTAATACTATTACTTTATGCTAATACTATTACTTTATGCTACTAATACTATTACTTTATGCTACTAATAATATTACTTTATGCTACTAATACTATTACTTTATGCTACTAATACTTAATTTATTTTGCATAACCAGACTATAAAGCATCCATTTAGTTAGTAATAATTCTTGATTATGAAATTATATAGCATTTTCCATTCAAGCAACCATGAGATCAACAAATGAAAAAAAAGCCAAGGTTGTAACTACTGGTAGCTAAACGATAATAAAATAGTAAAAGATGTACATAGATAAATAGGCCATACCAATGATTTTTAATACCTTTAATATTATAAATAATATAAGACTTTGAGATAATAGCGAGTCGAGTGGCCGAGCGGTAAGGCAGGGGCGCCGCTAGCTAGCTACAGCCTTAACATCGGCGCTGGTTCCAGCCGCTCCTCGATTATGGTTCAGTTTGTAGAACATAGTATTCTCGGATTTAAAAAAAGAAGGACTTAAAATGGAGGTCCAGTGTATACATCTGGCTCGTGTGCACTTTAAAGACCCATTGCATCTTTTGGAAGTGTAGGGAGTTACCCCACTGTTATGGTTCATTTCAGTCCCTGTCGTTGTGGAATGATGTGAACATGTATCTATCATTAAGCGCCTCTTCACGGCTGCTAGGTAATCACGGACTATGCCCATATGCAATTCAGCAGCTGCAAGTTGTGGCTATTCTCCTACATTTACCGTTACCTTTTTAATATTTCTTTTCTTGTACATTATGCTAAATGAGCTTTCAACATTCTAATTTCAGAATTTTCTGGCACGTTTCTCTCGGCCTCCCAATTTTATATTCATGGAGAACTCTGCATTCATCCCACCTCATATCGCAAATCCTAGACTTGTTGTGTTAGGATCAACTGCAGAGGATGCTGCACAATCAGCAGGTCGAAGGTCATCACGTCAAACACGGCAGAAGGTTGAAGAAAAGGGAGTGACTTCATACCCAATGCATCCTCTATATCACGGGCCAAACGGGTTACCTGTATTTAACAATGCCCAAGTTTTTCCTCACCCGGCAATGAGGCCAACTGTAGAAGATGGACACAGGTTGATGAATCCACTCGGGCCTGGAGCGTTCCGACCGTTTCAGGTTTCCGAAGAACAGGAAGGATTCTATCATCATTCAGCTTTCGTTCCCGCAAAACAACGTAAAATGGAAAATGGAAAAATTCAAAGCGTCTCAAATTCAGAAGACTGGAGCAGCGTGCAAACATGCTCAACAGAAAACTCTGAGAAAGGCACAGAGAGTTCATTGAGACCTGAGATGGGTGTGAAACATGAAATTGATGATAGTGACTTTTCTGAGAGAGGGGAAACCCCTTGCTCATTTGAATCAGCTGAGAGGAGCCAAGCTATTGAAAGTGAGGTGACAGATAGATCCAGCCCAGAAGAGGGCAGGCATTTAAGAAGTAAGAAATTACACAGTCTGCTTATACACTATGTTTATTGCATAAGATAAGATAAGGTAAACTTTATTGTCATGACCTCAAAACAAGGCGAACATAAATTTGGTTTCCTTGATGCATAATACATAAATAATACAGCATGAAATAAAAAATCTCTGAAAAGTTGAGTTGAATTATGAACAAAAGATTTCCTGCATCTTGTCTTGCATTTCAATGGACAAAATCTATCCGAGTTATGTTCAAAATAATCATTGTTTAATGGATGTGAAGCATCCTTCATAATTTTCTTAACTTAACAAAACCAAAACATCACGTTTATAAATCTCATCAATAACATTTACCTTTCTACCTATTATTTTACTTGCAATTTTCACTATTTTATCAAGTTTCTACTAAAAAAAAGAAAAAAAAAAGTAGCAGAGTAGCAGTAATTACACTCTCTTAATTTACTGTACATCAAGGTAGTTTGCAGTAGAATGATATTTCATCACATCAGTTCATTCAATTTGTCTAATTATGTTGAATCGCTGCTGCCCATGTTTTAGCACGCACAAACATTTATATTGGCGCGCCCTCTACTTTTTTCATTTATACAACTTTGGTCGAGAGTGCAGTTCTAATCTGTAAAATAACAATCTTTACATATTTTTTCTAATCAGAAAATCATAAAAATAAGAAAATGTTGGCTTTAGATTCATTCCTACACATCTTTACAATGGGGAGTACTACTGATCTTTAAAGGATATTTAATCTGAACTGTAAAAGTTACAGTTTCAACTTGGCACTCAAATTTTATCTTTTGAATGATTCTCTTGCATCCATTCTAATCCTACGATTTTGTATCTATATAACAGGATACATGATAATGAAATTCCTTTATATGATTGTGCTTATGTTGATTTGAATATTGATTAGAACTTCTCTCAAAATATCATGAATTGAAAATTGATCATTAATGGTACTGTAAAGCCTATTTGATCGAAAGATTCCACTTCCCCATTTTCGTCAAATAACGTCAAATATGCTTTTAATATGGTTAAAAACACAGTATGTGTTTTTTTTCCGTATACTGTACCCCGTATATGGGCACAGTGGAAACTAGGCCCTTAAAAAATACTTGGTATACAGTAGGTATCCTCAAAATGCATGCAGAACATAAAATTTATTACTGTATAATACAGAACTTTAGAGTGTTCTTCTGTGTTCTGCTAATCCATGTTTTTTTCTGCTCCGAAACTAATCTGTTTTCGTGATAAAATATGTACTGTAATGTAATACAACACAGTATATGCATCAGAAATGTTTACAGTTGCGTACTAATAGCACAAGCACCTAAATTTTTAACTTTATTGTTGGTCCAGTGTTTTCATTTCATTGTGAAAATTTGTTGCTGTAGAGAATATCGTTGGGTATAAATACTTACTCAATATTTTAAAATGATTGACAATTCATATATAGTAGTTAAAGTCTATTTTCAAATTTATTTATAGATTTAAAGGTATTGCACCTTTTAATTTTAAACTAATCTACTTTAATCTACATACCATTCCAAATTTCCTGATTTGTTTTGTTAGTACAGTACTTCTTAGAAACTTCAGCAGCCCAGTTTCTAATCTAGAGCATACAATAGTTAATTCTAATACGGTAATGTATTCTTCTCAATTTCCTATCCTCTATATGTTTTTCATGAATATTTTTTTTTTTCGGATGATGTCAATTTACAAATGTCGAACGTACAATATTTGAAAACTGAATGCGTTCCATGGATAAATTCACATCCGTGTGGAAAATTATTGGTATTTTTGAAAGTGGGGCTGGTGACTTGAACAGCTTCATAAAAATGATATAAAATCGAACTTGCCACAATGATTTATGTTTAGAAAACCCATCTGTCATTTCGGACATCGATAGATCAGCAATTTCAAGAAGTTTTCTAGTAATTTCCACTATCACCTGAGGTAGATAAAGCGGCACGGCAGCCAATTTCACGGTTTAATAATTCCCAAAAGCCACTTATTACAAACATCCTGATGAGGTCATTACTATGCAAATTCGTGCCGACTTTGCCTTTAAAGTCAACAATATTTGTATCAGTGTCAAGTATTTTCTCCTAAGTAACGCATCATTCTAATATGCCCTGAAGGAATAAGGGTATTAGTGGAAGGGAGACTTCGTAATTGTGTGAGGTATTTAAGCAATCCATAAAAATAGTAGTTAGTTTGGTTGGGATGGGCCGGCGAGCGAGTAACATCTTCAGCATAATCCCCAGCATGCCTAGCGTGTTGTTTCTTTTCTGTGAACGTCAGTGCGAATGAGCTGATAAGTATGTAAATGTTCAGTGCAATTGACTTGGGTGACTGTTTCAAGTTCAATTATTGCGAGAAATGCGCGTGAAAACTACCTGCGGATGTACGGTATTACCTGATCAACTGCTACTTATGTGTAAAATGTTCACACTCATCTCATTAATATATTTGTCTTCTTGAATTGTCAGTCATAAACATGAGTTGAATGCGCATTTTTAAAATTCTGTTTTATTTTTTTATGAACCTTATTATCTGTTCATTTCTAGTATAGAATACTGTACATGCATTATTTTAACTTCAATTCTTTTTTTATTTTTTCTACTCTAAAATTAAAATATGCACATCTTAATGTCGTAGTCAAAACACTCTAGTTAAAACAACAATGATTTATCTTTAATTACTTTAATTTTTTTTCATTTTTTTGTTTTAGTTACCAATCTGATGAAATCATTAATAATTATTATTATTACACATTAATCATTCATCATAATCATCATCATAAACATCATAATTCATTATAAACATCATCATCATAATCATTATCAGCAGATAATGGCCAATGATGGCTTTCATAGCAATAAAAGAAATTGAATTGTATTGATTCATCATCTTTATCTTCTACATCATCATCCTTAAGGTTATCAACATTGTATCAATGTCAGTAATATCAAAATCATCATCATCATCATCATCTTCATCATCATCATCATCTTCATCACCATC